GGAGAGGGGAGAGGGGAGCGGAGCCGCCAACCAAGAGGGGTAGCCTGGGCCAAGAGACTGGCTAAAAGAGTAAAGGGTAGCCCAAAAGGGAAAAAGGATCAGCACAGGAAAATGGTTGGATTTACAGGGAAGGGCAGCCCCGCCCCAGGGCAGGAGAAGTTTAGGGCAGGGAATAGGGTATGCCAACCAGGAGGGCCCCGTAACAGGTAGAGACTGAGGGATGCTGAGAGAACCTGGTGGCCAGGTCCACTGTGATATGTTACATAGGCACCTCCGCCATTTGTCCTGGGTTCGAGACCCAAGAGAAGTCAGTTCTTTTCCTCCAACTATATGAGCCCGGGGAACAGAACTCAGGCCATCAAAGTTGGCAGCAAGTGTCTTGACTCACTGAAGCATCTCCCTGGCCCTGCACTGCTGTTTTTCATGAAGGAGAATTTACTTATGTAAAATGCATTCAAGTATGCGGTTTGTGGTGGCTGATCTTGCTTTTCAACTTAGCTGTGTCTGGAAGCAAAATGCAAGGTGCCAGGTGCGCCTGTGAGGGATTTTCTCCATCAGGTTATTTGAAGTGGAAGGATGGGCCTTAAATGTGGGCAGCACCTTGTGGTTGCTGCACTGATAAACGAACATGGAAGAAGAAAGCTTTGCTTTATAAATTTATTTATCTATTTATTTTTATTCTGGTATTTTTGAGACAGGGTCTCACTACATAGCCTTGGCTGTCCTGGCACTCACTGTGTAGACCAGGCTGGTCCCAAACTCGTAACAAACCCACCTGTCTCAGCCTTCCAAGTGCTGGACTTCTAATATTTTTATCATGGGGGTTGAAGAGATGACTTAGTGGTAAGAACACTGGCTGCTCTTCCAGAGGACCAGGGTTCGATTCCCAGAACCCACATGGCAGCTCACAACTGTTTGTAACTCCAATTCCAGGAGATCCAGCACCCTCTTCTGGCCTCTGCAAGCAGTAAGAATGTACACGGTACATAGACACACGTGCAAACAAAACACAACCAACTTTAAAAATATCGAATAATAGTCTCATCACACCCTCAGCCATGCACTTGCCTTATCTTTAAGAAGCAGTCAGAGCCCTGGTTTTCTACAAAGGCCTCAGTTTCAGGATTCCACATGTGGCTCTGTGGCTGTGTCTCCTCAGGATCCACGTGTGGCTCTGTGGCTGTGTCTCCTCAGGACTC